CCGATTTTAGTTTGATTTTATTTATTAATCAACTTATAAATTGCATTAAGCCGCTATTAGAAGATTCTCGAATAAAAAGGAAAATGCTTTTTTTTATATTTGTTTAATATACCTATAGATTATTTTTGACTACTATTTTGTTTATTTAGAAAATTCTGATAAATATCTTATCAACATATATAGACATGATTTTTGGAAAAATCTAACAAATTTAGATTACAGCCAAATTGTCCGATAAGAATGTCATCTAATATTTAATGCGTGTGAGTAAAAATGACGCAAACTCTTCGACTTTTCCGCAAAAATAATGCAACTGCTTCCTAAATAAAATGTGCTTCTTATAATTATTCTATTTTCTTCATGATTTTGCAAAGATCAAAATGTAAATCTTTACCTACATAAAATACAAAAAGATTAAAAAATTAACAAGTGCAATTAAGAAATAAATTTAGCAGAAATCGTAAATTTTTTTTTACAAAATTATGTAAATAAAAATCGAAAACTCAGGAAATTTTCTATACAAAAAAATTTGTCATTTAGATTATTTTTAATCTTGTGTCAAATAAAAATCTACGGAAATTAAGTAATTAAAAATAATATTTGTATATTCAATATTTATATTCAATACTTAATTATTAAAAATAAAAAAATAGTAAATATCGTAAAATTATTAATTAATATAAATACGTAAATAATCCTCGTTCACTAATTTCATCATAAAATACTTTCCTCTTTTACCTTATTCTTTATGTACAATAATAGTAATTGTATAATTTAATAAAAAAAACACGTTAATTATAAATTTTTATATACATAATTAATTATCTTTAATCTAGTAATGGTTTAGATCATATATGATATGATACAATTCATATGCAGCACATAAATCCTTGCCTAAATCATATAATAAATATGATTACCAAAATAATATTAAGACAATAAATAATGATTGAAAACTATCCATATCATGTATACTTTTATTGCAAAATGTCTATGTTATACCTGTCATCCCCGTCGATATATCCACCGATACGTGCTCCGAAAAAAAAACCTAGCATTGCATTACGGAAAAATGTTGCCTCCCTTTGGAACGCTTCTGTCTCCGTGAAAATGAGAGCCATGCGCCATAATCATAAACCAAGGTACATCTGCATGCGCGCTAACGAAAAGCCCATAAGTACAGCTATATTCTCTCGAATCCAGCAGGAAGTGCGCCAGGAAACAAAATGGAGAAAAACAAGAACAAAGATTAAAAAAAGAAGAAAAAATCCTCGTGGCTAGCCTCGTTAATATCTGATCCACGGGGCAAGCTCGCCAGAACGACAGACGACCGCCGGTAAATTGGGCGTTGGTGCACTTTTAATTGACAGGAATGTTTAGCGGTAATAAACGCGCGCCGGATGGAAGAAGCGAAGGATAAGCCGGGGAGCGTATGCCGACGGTAGCAGCAGTGCCGTCAACGACGACGACGACGATGACGACAGGAAAGAAACAGCGCAGTGCCAGGACCACGACTAGATAGAGACACGGTGGCAGGAGCATAAACATCCTCGACCCTCGGCGGCGGCGGCGGCGGCGGGGGTGCAGCGCGCACGTTCCGCACTGTGGGCGTCGCCGTTCTGTTCCTACCACGACGGCAAGGGTGTTCTATGACGCTATAGATCATGCGGGCTCCGCCTGGTGGGCGGAGACTGCCTGCCAGTTGGTACGGTTCACCCCGCAACACTGCTGTGTTGCCAGCGCCTCCACCGGTGCCCGCCAAAACGAGCTCTCAAATCGAGACAGTACAGATCACCGGATTCTTTAAAAACAATATCTTTCAGGAATTTTTTTCGAATCCGAGAGGATTTCTTGGAGAGAGCGACGAATCGCTGAGTGAAGGAAGCGACGAGAAGAAAGTAGTTTTTCAGAAATGAAGAATGAAGTTTCTCAAGAAGTTGCTCATTAAAACAGGTTGTTCATAAGAAGATTTTGAGAATGATTGCATCTTATTATTTCTTCACTTATAGTGATTCTTATAGTGAATTTTATAATAATTTAATGATGTGATATAATATTTACTACGTTATATTCAAATTGTTGAAAGTGATAATTGAACAAATTTATTGCAATTATAAATATACAACTCTCTCTTTTGTAAATTTTACAATACCGTTCCTGAAAATATTAGTTGCTAGAATAAGAAGATCACAAACACTTAATAACAATTCCAGATAAATCGTGAATGTCAAAAGATAATCATTTTTACAATTGTTGAAAAAATTTGTTTACAACACTACGTGTTTGTTAACTACTTGGTAACTTTCGATATTAGCTTTAAGTAAACTGATCTCCCAGCATATATTAATAATATATTTAATAAATACAACGCATTGTAAAGTATAAGCATATACATTTTAGTAAAAGAGAAATGTTCAGCAAAACTTTAGAACTGTTGATAACGCAACAATAAACTTTAACTTAGTGGTATTTTCCAATGTTTTGTATTTAATAGGAAAAGCAGCTTTAATTAATATGTATATAATTCTCTATTAGTCTCCTAAAAGTTTCAACAATTTCCAATTAAATTGACGTCATACCTTTCTACGTACCACAACTGTACATATTGATTTCAACATATATTGTGGAGCATACATACATATTGCTACAAATTTTCCCAAAAGGAAGCAGTCGGGACGCATAGAATCTTTAACGTAACAAATTTTATAGTTTTGTACATCTACTGTGCGTTTTGAGGTTAGATCTCGAAATATTCAGTAATACGCTCGACAGCTTTACTTGTCGATCTACCCACGAATCGCACTCTTAATTCGCTAACAAACAATGCCGATCGAGTACTCACCACGACCAGCAGTATCCTCCTACACGGTTTTCTTCGTGAAAATCTCGAGAAACTCCTAGGTGTGGCTCCGCGTCGCCGTAGTACCATAGTCGTCGTACAGCAGCGCCGCTCGCGGCTGCTATCAGAATCACCGCGGCTACAGCGACGTCCTCTCCCCCCTCGTGCGCCTCCCTCGTGGAGCGACATAGTCGTCGACCCCGCCTCCTTTTCCGACCTCCCCCGTGCGCGCGAGCGTGCTTATAGTCCCATAGATCTGTCGACGGGGCCCTCCGGATCCAGTTGATTCCTTTTTTCATTCAGTATCCCGACCAGCTCTGTCCGAAAATCCCGTGGCCCGGATAGTTGGCGAAAAAAAAAGCGAACGGCAACGAGAAAAATCGCGGCATTGGACTGCGACAGAGAGAACGACGCGTGGGTGCCACGTCGCGGCCACGTTGCAGTGAGGAGCGCATCCGCCAGAGTTTGGTGCATTCGCAGACGAGAGTGGCTGGCTTTTGCGCCGTCGCTGGTGCGGCGAGACCCCTCGCGTCTCGCGTCTGCTCGCGTCGCGACGCGCGTGTATGGGTACAAACCGAGAGAACAAGACGCGCACACGTCTCCCTCTCCTCCCTCCCACGGGGATCTCGCTCATTCACTCGGTATACTTCGTCCAGCGGATGTCTCTCCGCAGATCCCTTCCCGCGTCCCTTCCCCGCCTCCTCGCGGCCTCGTCGGCCTCCTCGTTCGCGGGCCGCGGACGCGGACGCGGACGCGATCGCGGCCGCGGAGGAGAGAAAGAACGAGGGCGACGGAAGGCGGGAAGGAGAGGTCGAGCGGGCGCGAGTGAGGCTAGCAAGGAAGAGCGGGCGAGCGAGGAAACGAGAACGAGCGTCGGAGGAGGGAAAGAGGACTACTACTACTCCTGGGGTCCCCCCCACCACACGGCCTGCCGCCGCGACGCCAGTCCGTAGTCAGTCAGCGCTGGACCGCCGCCCGCTCGATTTCGCGATCCACGAACGACGGTAGCCACCACCTCCACCTCCTCCCCGCTTCTTTTCCGTCTACCGCGTTCCGGATCTTTCGCTCTCTCTTTCTCCCCCTCTCTCTCTCTCTCTCTCTCCTTATCTTTCTCTCCCACGCGAATTCTTTCTTTTCTTTTCATTCGTCCGCTCTCCGTTGCCGCGTTTTTATCCTCTTTATCTACACGTGTTCTCTTTCACTTGTTTCATAATTATCTATCCGATTATCTCTTTCGCTCTGTCTTTTTTCTCTGGTTTTCGATTTTGAGATCTTTCGATACTTACGTATGTACGCCAAGTATCGTGCGCGCGTCGCGAGTGAATGCGACGTGTCATCGCGAATCACGTATCGTAAAAAGATTATCGCGTGATTATCGGGATTCTTCCCTTCCCTCCTTCGATGTATCCATCAGATATCTCTTAACACAATCCCGATAGCGGTCGTCCGAGACGAGCATTATCGCGTACTGGTGTTAACACGACGACCGATCGGGAAAGTGACGAGTGACACTCATGATTGCTTGCAGAAAAAAGTGGTGAACCAGGGGTTGGTGCACGAAGTACGGAGTAAATCAGTCCGGTATCGCGAGATCGGGAATTACCTGCAATTCAGTGCGACCGGTGGAGAATGTAGTGACGATAGTAGCCCGAGGCTAATTAATTCAGCCGCCGATACATCGACGCGAATTATCACCGTCGATCGGCTCCGAAATGGCGATGCGAGTACAGATGATTTTACAGAAGTGAGAGATCCTTGGAACTTTGCGTTCCCGGTTGCGCTTTGAGATTTGACAGGTGTTTTGTCGCTTCGCCTCGTAATCGGTTCCTTGTCAACGTACCTACGGTAGGGTGCACAAAGTGGGCCGCGAGCCCTCCATAGAATGATGGCGATCGCGAAGATTGCATCAAGATTGACGATGAGCGGGTCGTCGGCGATCACGATGAGATAGTGGTCGTCGGGACACGTGCCAGTTGGTGACCACAAGTGTTGTAAACCGGAAGAAGAAGGCAAGACTTATCCCAGGTGCGAAGGCTAATCCCGGGGGAAGATATTAGAAGGATACTTTCTCTTGGCACTTCCGATCGCTTGACTTTTCGGGGACCAACCGATCGCAGTCGAAGGCGAAGAGAACTGGAGGCCGCACGGATAACCGAGCACTCCCGAAGGACGCAGATGCCCCGAAGGAAACAGCACGCACCGCAACGCATGAAATGTGAGTCGAGACAGAGTCCATGTGCAAGCCAAGACGATTAACAGCGACGGTGAAACGCAAAGGAAATTTGTCGATCGAGCCGATCGAGAAACGATGGGACAAAATTCGTTGAGTTTTTTTTTTTCAGATTTTTTCAATCGGACGAGAAACGATAAACTGCAGCGTTAATTGTCGATTTTTTGCAAATTGAGGAACTCTCATTGTTTACCTGAATTTTATTTGGACTTGATTTTCGCGAAGATTTCCTCGCGCGAGAAAAATAGACGGAAGCAAATTTTCTCACGTGTGACGAAAAGTTCGATCGAGAAGCCGGCGTTCCACCGTCGCTGATTCGTCGGAGCAAACTCGCGGAGCCACGTGGAATACCACGTGGAATGCGCCGTGATTTCGGGAGTAATCGCGGGGAATTCCACGCGCGGGATTATCCGCGTTTATATTTTCCCCCGACGTGACTAATTATTTCCTCGGAGCCGCGTGCTTACGGGAACATTTGACGCGTAACAAAAATTCAAGCGATGTGAGACGACGGACACGATTGAACCGTTGTCCGATGATCGTCATCGTGCACCGAGCGCCGTCACGTCGGAATAAAATTCTTCGACGTTCACAGCCAGCGAATTTACTGCATTTCTGTAGCGTGTGTTTATGGATTAATTAAAACGAAGAAAACGTCTAGGCGATCGTAAGGAAACTTCCATAAAGTCGTAGAATGTCTTTTACTACCCGTTTAGCGTTCACGCGTATCTCGCTGACGGAGTTCCTAAGTTACGCCGCTGTCGTGCACAGTGGATATTATCGTGCGGAAAACTTTTAACGCGATGATTAAAGAAATAGAAAATACCTGTTTCGTTGAACCAATGCGATTTCACGACTTGTCACAGTGGCACGTTTAATGCGGAAAACTAAGCGTTTTGACACAATTTATTTTTGAATTATTATTTTTTCGATAAAATTTTCTTTAATTTTATTGACAATAAATATATATAGATCGCATTGCCAGTGATAAATTAAAAATAGAATAGAGCACAATTTTGTTGTAGACAGATCATCGGTATAGTATCGACTGTTTGAGTAATTTTAGTATGTAGGAGATGAAACGTGCAGGTGTATAAATGTACATGAGTTAGTGAGGTCAGATTTTTTTGGATACTGTAAAATAAAAATTATCGACAAATCAAAGCTAATTAAGTAACTTTTTTACGCTCTTATCTGCGGTATTATGAGCGACATATAAAATATACAATTTCAAGAAAATTAATGATCTATGATACAAATGTTCTACTTATATACAGTGCTTAATAATCACATAAAAATATCGTATCGTCCGGATATTAAATATATCAACTTTTCATAAAGATAGATACTGAGGAGAAAAAAAAAGAGAGAGGTATATATTTTCAAGAAAAGAATGTCTTAATTATATTCCAAGTTCTATTAATTTTTAATAAAATTTATAAAAGCATTTTAAATAATACTGCTATTCTATAAAACAAAAATTTTAGCTTTAATACGCACACACGTTCCTATTATATTTACTATATTTTTATTATATTCTGAATTTTTTGTTTGCATATCGCTTATAAAATTATGATTAAATTTTTTATATTAGTATTATTGTCTATTAATTAAATATATTGAATTTTTGTCTGCATTTGATCAATTATGCAATAACTTTCATTGAAAGACTGAAAAATGAATTACGAAAGACGTAATAAAAAAAAAGTTAAAGTTATATAAGAATTTTGTACGAACATAACTTCTCTCTCGAAAGATAATTTAGTAAATATAAAACATACATTTTCTGTGTATGATGGAGTGTACTAAATAATTTTTATAGTACAATATACATTCTTCACCTCTTTCCTTTTACAAAAATATTTAAAAAAAAAACCAGTTTTCTTGATAAAATTGAAAATTATTGGAACATGCTAACAGTTATACAATCTTTTTTCATGTTAACATCTTTTGAAAAAGCAATAGATGCATGAGATGTTTACTAATTCAACTTACATATATCAGAATATCTGATTAATCTTTTCTTTTTTTTTTAGGTTATTACATTTTTCAATCAAAATATGCGCATATATAAATTGTACTCTTATGTCCAGTTTAAAATTTAAAGTAAACGATTAATTATGCGAGTGAGAATGAATAAAGTTCCTTCATATTATCGCGTTTAGCGAATTTCTATAGTCGGGGAAGTTGAAATCTATCTATCCTCACCTTGGTTGAGTAAGGTCGAAGATGGGCCGAAGGCGTGCAGCACGCCATTTCGTTGAATCTCCCGACAGATGGGCAGAGCGGCCGCGTTCAGGCCGTGGCGATTTGTGCGTTTGAGGCCGTGACGCGCGCCATGCTGCCTTTCCCACGTGGGGAGTCATGAGGCGTAAACAAACTCGCCCCCGGTGGCGGAGGGACGCCATCTTGGTGAAGTTCTGCCCGGAAACATTTACAATTCACTCAACTTACCTTACCGAAACTCGGCCAAGCGCCGATAAATCTCGTGCGCGGGCGCGGCACGACGCGACGCGACGCTCGAGCCGCGTACCATAAATTCGCAGCAGTCCGCGGAGTTTCACTGACGTGTATGCTACGGGTTTTTCGCCGGTTCCGACACCTTCCACAGCTCCACCGACGATCGAGGCGATTTCCTACATTCCTAATCCCGATGATTTTCTTCCCTACACGGAGAAAAGACGCGCAGCAATGATTACTGTGCCGAGAAAAAATTTTCACCGCACAAAAGTAACAATTACGATGATCGCTGTTTGGACAGCGATGACTAGCGCGTGCACAGTAATCATTGCTGCGCAGTTTTCTCCGTGTACACGTATACGTAAACATGGAAATTTCAACCGAAGATCTATTACTTGTTTGGTTATCCAGAAAATTTAGCGTGACTCAAGTAGAAAGAACCTTTTTAAAAAAGGGCAAAAAAAAGGATATCAAGTATAGATGTTCCTTGAACAAAAAAACTGTTGTACCAAATAAAAGGATGAAACCTATAAAGTATAATAGGTACTGTATATATCTTTTATGAAAAAAAACTTAAGAGGTATATATCTTTGTATTTCCATTGATTTATATGACTCAAGTAGAAAATAAACGAAATGTCTTAAAACTGCAAATGTGAATACACGATTGAGTAACTAAAATTTTAATGGGGTTTAAGCTAGTTCTTTTTATAGTACTTAAATGATTTTTCCGATGTGAATTTATATACATATCTGCAGACTATTACGCGCGCCGAAATTATTTTCAGTCTTGTAATACAATTACAAGTTGAACTGGATTAGAGAGAAGTAATGTCACAAATTAAGTAATATCACAAATAGTAATATCACATATTAATTTAATAATGTTGATCCTAATAAGATCTTAAAAAGGTATAGAGTAGAGAAAGAATCATTTATTTCTATTTTAGTTGCATTTATAATTTTTTTATATATGTAATTAGACAATATTTGTCTATAATATATTTATACACGGAGAGAATTTTTTCTTAGAATTTACCTTGAAAATATGGTAGTTCTGGGACAACATTGTATTTTGAAGAATTTTATATAAATTTCTCTCATTCATTAATAAAATTATAATAAAATATAAGTTTGATTAATTTTACTGCTGAAATGCATGGTAAAAATCTTTAAAGTATTATAATGTACCACAACTACCATATTTTCAGAGTAAATTAAAAAAAAAATTCTCTCAGAGAAAGAATGCGTACTATTGTCAGCATATTATTGATCATACGATTCTAATATCATAAATAATAAATAGAATTATTTAAATTATTATAATGAAATAAAAAATCAACAATATTTGTATGTTATGAAAAGTTAAGCATTAATAGGATTTAACACAGGATTTATGAAGTCAGAAAGTATACAATATATTTTAAATTCCTTTGCTTAAATAATTTAGAATTCTTGCATCCTCTCTCACTTCTGTTAATTATTAAAACAAAGCAGTTAGTTTTTTCCAAAACCGGACACACTTTCTTAGTTATCTAATAGTGCAGACTTTCCAAATAATTTATTGCAACAAAGATGCGCATCTACGAGTTAGTATATTTTTTAATTCTAATAGGTGCCAATCAACGACTTGAACCGGAAACGAATGCGAAAGTTTTTAACCATGCGAAACGATAAAGCCGTCAGCGAAAGCAGACACGTATGGGTTAAAAAAATGACAAAATATGGCCTGGCGAGCTATGACGCGGATAATTTCTCCGTTTAATTTACGACGTTCCGGTGAAAGGATCCGTAAAGTACGCTGATTCCTACGAATCGATCTGCCGGGTATCGATCGCACGATCACGCTGCGCTCTCAATAGGCCCAGAAATCTAATTAGCAGTATATTATGGAGAAACGATCATCACCCGGTCGTATTCTTGTCATTAGATTTATTCTATTTCGTGCAAAGCATTCGCAATATATCAAGAGCATTGCAAAATAAAACGGTAGAATTTCTAACCGCAGTTGGAGATAAAGATGAAAATAAATGTACAATTTATTCGACATTACCATTATTGTATATCAGTGCTTCGTGATGTCGAAAATATTTACAATTTAAATTAAAAATATTTCTTGATTCATAAGATTTTAATGAATAATAACCGTATTAATTAAACGACTGTGAAAAGAAAGATCTCTATGTTGATAGAAAAGTGACATCTCTCAAAATTAGCAACTCTCTCTCTCTTCAATAGAACGTTTTTAAAATTCTGAATTGAAATAATGTTTTAATTAAAATTGTAGTGAATCTGTAATTTCTGTAACTTTACTTTCTTTCTATGTTACAAAGCAAATGAACTACAAAAGTATCATTTTTCCAGAAAAATATATTAGCCTTTATGGTTAATTTCTTTTCTCAATATCTCACAAGTGATAAATTTTTCACTCATGTCACTTTTCTATCAAGGTATTTTGCGTTTCTCAATCAAAATTTGACTTATAGAAACATGCACTGTTATTTATACATTACTGTTATATATTTA